CAGCACAGTGTCGAGCATCACCATCCTTATTCTCGCCATGATCGTGATCGACGTGATTACTATGGAAGTGACAGATTGCGCAGGCGTTCATCTGAACACAAACGTTTACGAAAGCCGTATGATCCGAGAGTCCGCAGAGTCGAGGTATGCTTGTGCTTCACTTTTTTGTAGTGGTTAGTTGAGAACGAGGTTCTCACATAGTGAACTGCAGCGAAAACAAGTTTTTTTTTTCAGACATATGTCCCAAGGCGTTCGCGGCATTCATCTGGCGATAAATCGCACCACAGCAAAGAAAAAGAGAGGAACGGTGCTGATGATAGGGACATCCCATTGGATGAGCTCGAACTTGAGGAGGTTGACTGTTGTAAGTTTTTTGTTAATTCTCTTTTATTCACTGCTTGTGCATAAATCATCATGATCTGCTCATTTTTGGGAAACTACAATGAATATTCGGGCTCATACTTTCCTTTTTTGTTGAAAAGCATATATGCGATTGTTGTAAAGTCATGATATATTGATTTTCAAAAAGATACCTTATTTTCCCCTTTTTGAGAGAGAGAGATACTTTGATCTGTAAGATGGTTAGATATAGCAGACATTTTTTAGATCTATCTTTCATTGGGAGAGCGTTTAGGCTTGAACGAGTCCGTAAAAGTCGCGCGTTGGGGTTTCTTTACCTTATCCTACTATATATCGTTTGTTTCTACCAATACCGAGTTTTCGAAGAAAGCGATAGCGACGGAGATTATCGTCTCTAAGATGCGTGGGGGACGTGGCGTTTTTTCGCATAATCAAATTCAATTCGTAGCCGTCTTTGGTCATAAATCGGCGATTCGAGCTGCAGTGTGGCTTTTTAGCAAGAATATTTTATCCAGCCCTCTGGCATAGTTCGTGCAATTTCATCGCCTCGCAATTCTTTCCACAAGACAACTGTTACGAGTTCATGTCATGCCAATCCTTCTGCATTTGGGTTGTGATAGTTTTCTGACATGACTAATTGTGACCAACTATCACAATCGAAATGCAAAGTGATTGACATGCAATGAACTCGTAACAGTTGTCTTGTCGGGAGAATCGCGAGGTGACAAATTCGCGTAAGCTATGCCCGAGTGCTTACACAATTTTTTTAAATCTTTGGAAATATCGGGATAACAAATTCTTTTCAGGTGACGAAGTAGGTGACGATCGCTCAGATTATGCTGACGGCACCTCGAGTGCATGCGGATCTTATTCTGGGTGGGTGAAAGCTAATTATTTCTAGGGGTTACCATACAATGTTACTTACGCTTAATGTTGACATACAATAGGACTGGAGTGGCGACATTTTCCGTAATTGAACATTTGTGTGAAAAATTTTCATTTTGCATGCGTGTGTGATATGTTTCGGAGATTGTTTCGCAGAGTTGAGCTGCTTCATTTTAGAGAGGACGATGACTACGATGGTTTGAGTATGTCGCGCTCGAGAGGTCCAAATCACATGTCTAGTGTTGGTGATGGTGATGATTTCCCAGACCTCTGTGAGGAACTCGACGAGGATGCAATGCGGCGTGCCGCAGCCGCAGCTGCCGCCAAAAACATCGTTCTCTCCAGTGAGACGCCAGCCGATGTCAACAGTCCACCTCCGCCAGGCACAGGAAAAATAGTACGAAGATCTCATGATGACAAATATTCACATCGAAAAGACACGACGGAATTGCGGAGGAATGGAAGGAATGGTGAAGATGCTCCGTCGTCGCGACATATGCGTGGCAGCAGTCGACATGAAGATGGTAGATTTCGAGGATCATCCTGCTTCTTCTTCTTCTCGAATCGAATAGCGATCACGGAGCGTTTGTTGATGTGTGTAAAACAGATGATTTACCTCTTTAGACGCTCGGCGACGGCGCCACCACTTCATGGAAAGTACAAACTACAAATCGAGACGAGGTGAATGGAGGCGAACAGAGGAGAGAGGAAGAGAAGGAAGAGAAAGGACGGATAAGGCTCGATTTGGTCGAGAAACTCCCAGCGTTCAACGTGCTCCAGCTGTTACCAAGTCGCATACCGATCCTACTACTGAAGTGTGCAGACGAGACGATGCAGAGTTGTTATCCATAAAAGGCCCCCTTGCTCATGGATGGTGTTCGGTAGAAGATGAAGAAGAGCAGATGCCTACATCGTCACAAAGTTCACCGAAAAGCACATACGCAGATAGTGAGCGTAGAATGAGTACAACTCAAAGAAGTGCATCGGTTACTGATGATGCAGATGATACTGCAAAGAAAGTGCGTCTCCGGTCCTTCACACTGGTACCACCAAGGCACAACGCCAATTCGGTCACAAATCCTCCATCACGGATCAAAAATGGCAGTTTACCCACATCGCCTCGTAAAAGGGATCTTGGCAAACGAGGATCGTCACGAGATAGCAGCTCATCGCCAGTGCGGAAAACTGCGGACCATCGTCGTCAACAAC